AGAGCGCCGCCATGTAAGACACACGAAGCTTACTCTGGCCGAGCAGTGTCTGTACAGACCTTGTGAAAATAATCAGAACCACCGATGCCTGGAAGTCAACAACGACAGACCAATTGTGAAGGGTAGCACCATCGATCCACCAATAGATTGATTCTGTCGTATGATTGCCATACATCCCAATCCAGCAAAATACTTTGTCCCAGCAAAATGCTCCCTTCTCATAAAAGAAAGGCCGCTGCCGAATCAGACCCCAAACGAGCCCGGGCAAGATAACAGCACCAAGTCGCGTGTACCGGGCCAAGCACAGGCGGATTACAGAGACGGGCGCTGTCGGTTCTCGGAGCAATGGTGAGGTCGTGAAAAGACCCGAGAGCATGAAAAAAACTGGCACTGCGTTGATGCCCGTGAGACACAAAGGAAAATAGGCCGGATTCCGTATCACGGCCGCCCATCCTGGGTCGCTACCCATTTTGACGGCTGTCATGTTGCCATTTCCAAACGAAACGCAATGAAACACAACAACCCCTATACAAAAAAAAATACGAATAAAGCCAATCGTATCAAGAAATGCCATCGAATCCGTGTTATCGTGATTCCGTAGTCTTATGCTACTCCCAGAACGAGGGCGCTGTAACTGGGAAGGGAACGAGGAATTCCGTGCAGGTGATGATATGTGCAGGTGATATAGCCGCCCGCCAGGATATATCAGCCAGGATATCTAGGATACAGAGGAGAGAGACAGAAGATATATCTCGTACTCGAGTACGAGTATCGTCTGTCGCTGACATCCTCTTCTATTATTGTGCGCGCCGTGGGCGCTGCCGGGGACGCCGGGGCGGACTCCTCCCCGGAGGATTCGTCCCCCCCTCCAGATGCCCCTGCGTCGGGCGCCGCGGGCCCGCCACCGTGACGCCCGCAACCGCGCCCGTCGTTAAGGCATTAGACCCTCCTGCCGGCGGCGCGCCCGCCGTCTGACTCCCTGACATTTTTCCACTCCCGCCAAGGATGCTGTTAGCGGCTTCCTTAATATTAAGGAATGATATAAAAAATAGAATGATATAGTTGGAGCTGGGTGTGCCTATCGACGGCCAGCCCTCCAGCCCGCCCGCGTAGGCGCTCACGTTATACTTGAGCGACCACATGAGGCTGCCTAGGTCAAAGCAATTCCCAGGGCAGGACGCGCGCACCGCAAAAAGCACGCGCTGCCCCCGGCGCGTCCCTCCGAGATGCTGAGTCATTCTAACCACCGGACGCTAAATTGAATCGCGTTGAAGCACGTCCTGAGCACGTTATGGGCTGCGACCGGGGCCCCGGGGGCGGGTCTGGAGACCTTCTTATCTCCGACTAACCGCGCGGTGAGGCTCAGCGTCCGCGAATTCCTGCGCGCGTCGTCTTAGTCGGCGATAAGAAGGCGATCTTGACGTCGAACGGGGCAGCCCCTCGGTCGACGGTCGTTTCGTGTGGTTTATGTACGAATTCGCCCTTCCCGGGCGGAATTGAGATGCTATTTACGGACATCCGTTGCCCTTGATTGTGGGTTCGAATTTCCACGCGCGCGTGACGACGACGACGACGGCGGCGGCGGCGGCGGCGGCGGCGGCGGCGACGACGACGACGACGACGACGACGACGACGACGACTGACGACGACGACTGACCGACCGACCAACCCAGCCCTACTGAAGGGAATCGACTGGGGCGATGATATACGATCCCCGATGCTGCGAGAGGTCGACAGACACGAAAAGGGGCCGAGGGGATCAAACGCGCCCCATCCCAGCCCCCGAAGGACCGTTTGAGTCACCATGCGATTGGCAGCACTTGGCGTCTGCGCATGTGCTTCAGGCTCACACTAGCAGAGCACGTGCCCTGGATGGGCTCCGCGGCCTGTGTGCAAATCAACCAGTGAGCTGGGACGTCGGGGCCAAACTTGAGAATTCTCTAGCTCGGTCAAATCGAAGTCGATTCGGCTGATTTTTGGACGAATCGATTGCTCTCAGCGAGTTCTCGAAGCACGGCGGAAGTGCTCGTGTCGAAACGGTCGCGTACGCTCACATTGAAGTCGGGTAGAAGATTTGATTTGCACACAGTCCGCGGCCCGCCGGCTCGTCTGCACGTTCGCCGACGCGCGTTTCGCGGCCGCGTCGCGCGACGACTTCAGCCCCTTCGCCTGCGCCTCGTAGAGCAGCTCGGAGACGACGGCGCCGGCGTCGGCGGCGGCCCGCGTGAGCCCCTTCTTCGCCGACGTGTAGGCCTTGAGCCCGCCGATCTTGCCGAGCAGGTTCTTCCCGAGGAAGTCCTCGTCGACGTCGCCGCGCGGGCTCTCCGTCTTCCCCAGCGACAGCACCTTCGTCAGGCCCGTGTTCTGCGCCACGGTCTGCGGCGAGTCGCGCGCGCCGCCCGCGGCCTGGGACGCGAGCAGCGCGTCGTAGACGAGGTCCGCGACGTAGCAGTCACAGAGCGGCACGAGCCGCTGGCCCGCGAGCGCCGTGAACGCGCCGCGGTCCACGCCGCCGCCGCCGCTGCCCCGGGGCACGAGCAGGCCGTAGGCCGCCTCGGGCAGCTTGAGCACGACGCCCGGGTTCGCCGACAGCGCGATGAGCCGCGCCTCGCGGTCCTTCTCGTCCGAGACCTCGCGCGGCTTCTCCCTCGCCGGCTCCCTGGCCGCGGGAACCGACGGGCTCCGGCTCGGCGGCCGCGGCTTCTCGACGGGCTCCTCGTCGCAGGGCTCCTCGGTCGCCGGACCCGCCGCGTCGTCGTCGCCGCCGTCGTCGACGATCGGCAACGGCTCGACTTTCAGCGCGGCCGCGGCTTCGAGCGCGGCGACCCACTGCTTGCCCTCGTGGGCCGACAGCGCCGTGAGCTTCACGGTGCGCCGCTCGCCCCGCGCCTCGCGCACGGAGAATTCGAAGCGCCGCCGCCGGTGCGCGGCCTCGGACGGGTCGACGCCCTCGAGCGTCGCCCTGTCGGCGACCGCGGCGAGCGCGACCGTCGCGTCCTCGAGCGACGCGAAGCGGCCCGTGGGCACCTCGCCGTCGTCGGCGGGCGGCGACACGTACCAGAGCAGCTCGCCGGCCTCGGAGAGCACGAACCAGCGCCGGCGCCAGGGCGCGAGGCGCTGGGACACCTCGAGCGTCGCCGCGGCCGTCGCCGCGGCCACCAGTTCCCCGACGCCCCGCGTCTCCTCGTCGTCCTCCTCGTCGCCCTTGACGGCCTTGACCCAGAGGTAGCCCTGGCGCGCGACCTCGCGCTTGGCGGATGCTAATCCAACGGCCACCGTCGTCGCGCCCGCGTCCGCGGACGACCCGTCGTCGTCGCCCTTCTCCTCGAACGCGACGGCCAAGGTCGTCAGCGCCGCGATCCAGTCCAGGCGCGCCTCGGGCGTCTCGCCGCGGAAGAAGGCCCAGCGCGTCGCGTCGCTCGGCCCGTCGCGCGCGGCGCCGACGTCGCCGTCGACGACGGGCGCCGCGAACGCGCGCGGGTCCAGGCTCCCGCGGCCGTCGTCGCCCAAGTCGCCCACGGTCCGCGCGGCCGCCGCGACGTCCTCCGCCGACGCCCGCAGGGGCGCGTGGACGACTCTCAAGTCTTCCACGTGGCCGCCGTCCACGAGGTCCTTGCCCGGGTAGGCCCGCAGCTCGCCGTCCTCGCGGAGGACGTAGAAGCGGCCCGTCCAGCTCCGCGCGGCCGCGAAGCGCGCGAAGAGGTAGCCCTGCCAGTAGCGTCGCGCGGGCCGCGGGCCCTGCTCCGGTACGGGCTCCGTGACCGCGTGGAGGCGCCGGAAGCCCAGGGTCACGGGGCGGCTCGCGGTCTTCGCCGCGAGCATCGTCGCCTTGAAGCCCTCGCGGAGCGTCTCGCGGCCGTTGACGGCGACGAGGATGCTCCCGACGGTGACGCCCGCGCGCTCGGCCGCGCCCGGCATGCCGTCGGCGCCGGGCTTCAGGCCCCGGACCACGGGGATGTCGTTCATGGGCTTGATGAGCAACCCCAACGCGTCGTCCTGGAGAACGCAGTGGAACTCCTGGAAGAAGGGCGTCCCGGACGCGAGCATGGTGGTTTTGGTGTGTCTGTGTGGTGCGTAGCGTTTTGTTCTTGCTCTTCGCGCCTTATGGCCTGTGGCAGGTGCGTCTGTGGCCTAAGTTCTGTGGTCTAGTTGCGCCATGCTGCGGCGCGAGAGGGAAACATCGCAGACCAAGCTCTTCAACGTCGGTCGGCCGCGGCCACTGCCGCGGCCGAGCATGTTGCCGCGATCGCGCACCTCGCACCGGCTCGTTGACTCGTTCCCCAGCGGCGGCGCGTGGGCTCACCGAGGCGGATTAGAAGCTTAACTCGCGCAAAAGGGAGGAAACCTCCCGCATGAAGACGGCCTGAGCGTCGTCGAAGGCGACACCGGCCCGGAGCTCCGCGGCGAAGTAGGGGACGCTCGCGCGGGCGCAGGCGCGGAGTCGGTCTCGCGCCTCGACGCCGGACGACGAGGACCCGCCGCTGCGCAGCGGCGGCGGCGACGGCGCGTCCGCGGGGGACGGCGGCGCGTAGCGCGGCGGCGAAAACGAAGGAGCCGCCACCGCCGGAGCGGCGGCCGCCGCGGCGCCGCCGGCGGAGCTGCGGAGGCCCGACCGGCGCGGCACCGGAGCGGCCGCCGCGCGCGGCCGCTCGACGCGGCTCCGCTGGCGCGGCGGCGACCGCGCGTCCGCGGGGGACAGCGGCGCGTCCGCGGGGGACGGCGGCGCGTAGCGCGGCGGCGAAGACGGAGGAGCGGCCACCGCCGGAGCGGCGGCCGCCGCGGCGCCGCCGGCGGAGCTGCGGAGGCCCGACCGGCGCGGCACCGGAGCGGCCGCCGCGAGCGGCCGCTCGACGCGGCTCCGCTGGCGCGCCGCGGCGCAACGCGCGGCGATATGGTCCGCGAACGGGAACGGCGCCGGGGCTTCGCCCCGCATCTCGCGCCGCAGCGCCCACAGGCGCTCCGCGAGTTGAAGCTTCAACAATTTGCTGCAATTGGAATACGTCGTCGCTTTCGTCGCGCCGCGGGCGTGGTACTCGCGCACGAGCTCGTCGGGGGTCATCTCGTAGACCTCGACGCGGGAGGCGACGGTCTCCTCGAAACCAACCCGACGCGCGTGTGCCGCCTCGAATTTGTCCGCGAACGGGAACGGCGCCGGGGCTTCGCCCCGCATCTCGCGCCGCAGCGCCCACAGGCACTCCGCGAGTTCGCGCTTTGACAGACGGATGTTGCAAAATTTCGTCGCTTTCGTCGCGCCGCGGGCGTGGTACTCGCGCACGAGCTCGTCGCCGGTCATCTCGTAGACCTCGACGCGGGAGGCGTCGGTCTCCTCGAAGGCCTCCCGACGCGCCCGACTCGCGTGTGCCGTAGGGTCCCCGCCGAAAAACTGGTGCACCTCGTCCGCGAACGGGAACGGCGCCGGGGCTTCGCCCCGCATCTCGCGCCGCAGCGCCCACAGGCGCTCCGCGAGTTCGAGCTTCGTCAAATTGGTTCCGGAATGCGTCGTCGCTTTCGTCGCGCCGCGGGCGTTGTACTCGCGCGCGAGCTCGTCGCCGGTCATCTCGTAGACCTCGACGCGGGAGGCGTCGGTCTCCTCGAAAGCAACCCGACGCGCGTGTGCCGCCTCGAATTTGTCCGCGAACGGGAACGGCGCCGGGGCTTCGCCGCGCATCTCGCGCCGCAGCGCCCACAGGCGCTCCGCGAGTTCGCGCTTCAACAAATTGGAATTGGCATACGTCGTCGATTTCGTCGCGCCGCGGGCGTGGTACTCGAGCGCGAGCTCGTCGCCGGTCATCTCGTAGACCTCGACGCGGGAGGCGTCGGTCTCCTTGAAGGCATCCCGACGCGCGTGTGCCGTAGGGTCCATCGCCAAACGATGCTTCTCCTTCGCCGCTTTCGTCTGATTCGCTAGGCACAACGAGCCGTCCTTGTCGACGACCAAGCAGTTCCAGTTGTTCCCGCCGGCGACCAACGCTCGGTTGCAGCCGCGCTTCCCGTCGATCATCCTGGATTCTGCAGGCCAGAGAGTAGCCCGCAAGAACTGCTGCCGGCCCTCGCCGTCGGCGTTGACCAAGAGGACCAACGACTCGAAGCTGTCGATGAACGCCTCCTTGACGGCCTCGTCGTCCCGGCTGCGCTTTCGCCGCACCGCGAACGAATCGTAGTGCTCCTGCAAGTCGTCGGGCAGCTCGCCCTTGGCGCCCGCGTTCGCGTGTTGCACGGCGCGCGGCCGCAGGAGCTTGCGCACGAGCGCCAACGCGCCGCGGACGTCGCCCGCCTCGATGAGCGCCGATAAGCGGTCCTTGGCCGCCGCCCATAGCGCCTCCTCCGGCATGTGGGAGCCTCGGTACGTCACAGCGGTCAGCAGGTTGAGGCTCTCGTAAAGGATGCCGCCCGTGTCGCCGCAGCGCGCGTCGCTGCCGCCCTGCCATCGTATTAGCGTGTTGCGAAACAGACTGTCGGACCTGCGGAACGGCCATCGTTACATTTCGTGAATGAAAGTTGCATTCAAGGTTCCACCAGTGAATAATGCGATGTTTTTCGCGTCGAGCGCGGCGCGTCGCGCGTCTTGCCCCGGGTGGCGCGCGTTCCAGACGCTGGCACGCGCCAGCTGCGCATCTCCTTACTCAACAGCGACTGCGTTGAGCATCGATACGCGGTTGTTTTTTGTCTGAAGACCACCAAGGGCTGTGCTGGAATGTCTGCGGCGGCCAGCACGCGCAGTGCGCCGGCGACGTCTGCGTGCGTGTCCTCTGCCAGAACGACAACCGTGTCGCTTGGTCGGAGAGACGAAAGAAGGAGGCGATCGACGCAGAGAGAACCAAGTTCGAGCCCGAGGCCCGCCGGCGCGTCGTCGCCGCGGCGCCGCGCGACTTTCGTGACGCCGCCTTGGGAGCGCCGGAGCAAAGGAAGAACAATCGCTCCGGGCGTCGCAGAAACCGCGGCCTCGGCGAAGGGCCTCGCTCGCGGGCTGTTGGTCGCAGATGTTGCTTTCGGGTCCTCGAGCGGTACGACGACGACGCGAGAGTTCCATCGCGCCTGGCTCGGGGGATCCTCAGAG